CTCTCTCTCTCTCTCTCTCTCTCTCTCTCTCTCTCACACACACACACACACACACACACAAACACACACACACACACACACACACACACACACACCGATCTCTCTCACACCCACAAACACTACGCTCTCTCCCACTCACGCACACAGACCCACACAACATTTCATGTGAACAGGGTACACGTGGCGAAAGAAGTGATCTGCCATAATGGAGTGAGAGGATTTTATTTTTGCCTTCATAGAATAAACTAAAATTGATGATCGGACCCTCTAATAATAGTTTGAAAGAGCGCCGTGAGGCAAGGAAAAACAACTGCCATGTAGCAATTCGACTACACTTAGATGCGCCAGAGACCGGACCGCACAGTAGACGCAAACGAGATACGACGCGGAGCCCCCCAGTCGTAATCACATCGACGGAGTACTCATGATTCAAACAATTCCCACCTCTCTCTCTCTCTCTCTCTCTCTCTCTCTCTCTCTCTCTCTCTCTCTCTCTCTCACACACACACACACACACACACACACGCACACAAACACGCACACACCCTTTCCTCTCACGCACGCCAACACATTCTCCTCTTCAAGTTTTCACTCCGTCCATCCTCTCTCTCTCTCTCTCTCTCTCTCTCTCTCTCTCTCTTTCTCTCTCTCTCACACACACACACACACACGCACACACACACACACACACGCACGCACACACAATCGCAAATCTTTTCCTCTTTCTGCTTTTCTCACCCACAAAATCACGCACAACCACACATGCATTCTCCTACTTCAGAATCCCTCAATTCTCTCTCCCTCTCTCTCTCTCTCTCTCTCTCTCTCTCTCTCTCTCTCTCTCTCTCTCTCTCTCTCTCTCTCTCTCTTTTCGCAAACCAGTCCCACAAGTCCCACGAGGGCAAAGAGTCTTTGCACAAATAGGGCCAATAAATTCCTCTCATTCGCTTTGCAATGCGAACGCAAATACCAAATACCGGGGGTTCGAGTCCCTCTCCGCCAAGGAGTAGGCGATAGGATTATGACACGAGGAACAGAAGAGGCCGCCGTCGACGGAGAGTCTCTGTAATCTGGCACACCACACACCTCCCTGGACCTTTCTCTCACCGAAAACCTTTTCAGCGAGCAATCTGTACGAAGAGGACTCCAGAAAACAAATGACCGCTTGGCGCGCAGTAAGCACGCACGAGAGAGAGAGAGAGAGATTAGGCGAGAAATCGAGAGAGAGAGAAACAACCAAGGAATTCTCCGAGAAGCTTCGGCTTGGCGCGCAACAAGTGTGGAGCCGATGGACATCGGGACCGCTTTATGCCGAACAGCCCCCCCTACCAAAGGAATCTCGGGACAAATTCCGCTTGGCGCGCAATAGGTCTAAAGGGAGGGCGATCAATGATTCGGCTTTGCGCGCAATGAGTACGAACCGCTCGGCTTGGCGCGCAACAAGTACAAACCGCTGGCCTTGGCGCGCAACGAGTTCGAACCGCTCGGCTTGGCGCGCAATGAGTACGAGCCACTCGGCTTGGCGCGCAAAGAGTACGAATCGCTCGGCTTGGCGCGCAACGAGTACGAATCACTCGGCTTGGCGCGGAATAGGTCTCTAAACGTGAGGGCGACCGACGATTCCGCTTGGCGCGCAACGAGTACGAACCGCTCGCCTTGGCGCGCAGCAAGTACGAATCGCTCGCCTTGAGGCATTATGCACGAGCTGCTCGGCTTCCCGCGCAATCTGGACGAATCCGCTCGGTTTGGCGCGCAATAAGCACGCACCGCTCGGTTTGGCGCGCAATAAATAAGTCCGCATCCTCAAAGCAATCGGACACGTGGACTGTACGTAGCACTGACACGTGGACTATTAAGAGCCCTGTCTCTTATACACATCTAGATGTGTATAAGAGACAGAAGCACGCACCGCTCGGTTTGGCGCGCAATAAATAAGTCCGCATCCTCAAAGCAATCGGACACGTGGACTGTACGTAGCACTGACACGTGGACTATTAAGAGCCCGGACACGTGGACTAATGGCCGGGAAACGTCGACAACACGCAGCACGGACACGTGGACTATTGGCAGCAAGGACGCGTAGATTGTAGACAACACGGACGCGTGGATTATAAGCAGCACGAACATGTGGACTATATAGAGAGGGACCGTGATGACGTGGACTCGAAGACCGTCATGAAGCGGAGAACCTCACAGCACATTTTGAAGAACGAGAGGGATGACATCAACTCAAGGGGCCATCATGAAGGGGAGAAACTCACAGCACGTTTCGAAGAACGAGAGGGCAGTTCACTCCGTGTTCCCGCGCTGTGATTCCGCTCTGGCGCGCGTTATGGTCTGAAGAAAAAACGAAGCAAGACCAAAGAAGAGCGAGAGGGGAACGAAGACAGATCCGGAGAGCGACACGGGCACTAAAAGAGGATGACAGAGGAAGGACAAAGGAGGACAACGAGGCAGATTAGAGGACCAGAGGAGGAGGAGGAGAAGAGGAGGACAGCAGGAAAGGAGAGGAGAGTAGGATGAGCAAGTAGGCAAGGATGCAAGATGGAAAGGAAGATGAGAGGAGGACGAGAGGAGGCCGAATGGACAGGAGACTAGGGAGGAGGAAGACCAGAGAAAACTGGGGAAACGGAGGCAATAGAGGAGGGAATGGAGGAGCGCGAGAAGAAGGGAGGGGGAGAGGAGGAGAGGAAGCTGAGAGCACCAGCAGGAGGAGGAGGATGACGAGAGAAGGAAAAACGAGGTAAAGGAGAAGGAAACGAAGGAGAAAAAGGAGGAGAAAGGAGGAGAAAAAAGGAGAAAAAAGGAGGAGAAACGGAGGACAATGGCATCATCGAAAATGATAAAACTGTCTCCTTGGAACTCAACTCGTTTTCACAAATTCTTAACATCAAACACCTCTCCACTTCAAATTTCGACTACAGTCCTTGACGGAGTCGAGGTCGAGGCCGACGCCAGCATCCATCCAGCAGTAATAAGGAGAGGAGAGAATGGGAGGAGGACGAGGATGAGGGTGGGAGAGTATGGGGGTTGGGGAGGATGGGGGCGGGGGGGCGGGGGGGTAGAAGAGGAGGAGGAGGAGGAGAATAGAAGGGGGGAGAAGGAGGTGGAGGACAAACACATTGTGCAAATCATAGAAACAATATACTACTCTAAACCTACGCGCCCACCGGCAAAACCCATCCTTATGAGCATCCAGCCACTCTCTGAGCGTTTCCCACACACGAATTCTCTCAATGTAAGAGTAGGGCAGAGGGAGGGAGAAGATAAAAAAAACAAAAGAGGAAGTGAAAGTCAAGATCGAGAAGCAAGAAGAGGACGTGGACGTCGACTAGGGCACCAAGGTAATCACGAAGAACACAACCACAAGGTATATCATACTGTATTAACGCCATTCATCTTCACACCCCCTGTGTAACGAGGAAGAAGAGAGACAACCAAGAACGAGGAGAAAGAAGAGAAAGAGCAGAAGGAGGAGAACGATGAGAAAGAGGAAGAGGATGAGAAACAAGAGAGAGGAGGAAGAAGAGAAAGGGGGGGGGAAGAAAACGACGAAGAAGACGACCCAAATCACATCATCATCGCAATAAAGCGTCAGGATCCGACGAAGAGAAAAGAAAAGAGTGAGGAAAGCAATCGCGCAAACGATTTAATCCCCCCTGTTCAAAGCCAGTATATTAAGATTGTCGTCGTCGCGTTACGCCCCTGCGTAAAGCGAAGTTCCAAACAGCTTTTTGCGGACCTCAGGTAGATTCTGTTTGAAGGCGATGTCGAGCCGAGCGTCGAGGGTGTTGGAACAGACAATACGCCAGTCTTTGGAACCCATCAAGACGCCTCCAGAGCAATAAACGGTATCATCGTCGCTGCCGGTGGGAGGGGGAGGGAGGAAGATCTCTTGGTCGACAAACACGTCGGGCGGCACGGGCACTCCACTGATGGCAACGTAATCATCAATCGCTGGCTGGACAACCTCTTCCACCAGAGGGAGATCAATCTCCCTACAACGAAGTCGCACTGCCGGCTCCCGCAGACGCACCAAACCTTGGACGATCAAACCCTTGAGCAATTGCTGATACACGTCAGGGTCGTCGCTGATTGAAGTCAATTGCCTCTCAGCCCTGGACTTCATGGCGCGAACGATGTCATCCTGCGCTTGAAGCAGTTTAAGACGCGACACATTGAGTTGAGTGGAGTACTCTATCTTCTTCCTCGTCTCCACTTGTTTCTCCTTCCTCTCAAATTCCTTCCTGATCTTCTGCTTCTCTGCCTCCACTAATTGCAGCTTCTCGATATTGAACTCCTCCTCCGATGCCAGCATTATCTCGTTTGCCTTCTCTTCGGCCTCTTGCCGAATGAATTGCACCATCTGCTGGACCTGCCGACTCACCTCCGCGTCATTCATCTTCGCTCTCTCTCTCTCTCTCTCTCTCTCTCTCTCTCTCTCTCTCTCTCTCTCTCTCTCTCTCTCTCTGTGTGTGTGTGTGCAAAAAGTGTGAGAGGGTTGAGAGAGAGAGACGTCAAGGCAAGGAGAGATGGAAAAGTGGGAAGAGCGAGAGAGGGAGAGAGATATGCACACGAGAGGAAGAGGACGGGGCAAAGTAGGTCGGGACACAGGTATGGCGCCACTACGAGGGGAGAGACGGAGAGTGGAGGGGGAAAAACGCAGGGTACCCCGCCTGCTGCAAGCAATCGTGCGCGGTGTGTACGGAATATGGGGGCGGAAGCCGCGCGACGACCCTTCCACTGCGCGAAGCGCGGTGAGGGGAGGGAAGAGGAAGAGGCGCAGATACGAAAAACCGTCTGCGGGGGGAAAAAAAGGAAAAAAGGACAGGCGATGGGGGACGCCTCGCCGCCTGGAGCTGCGAACGAACGAACCTGGTCCTTTTCATTTCCAGGCGGGAAACAAAAACAAAGGCGGGAGAGAAAAAGAGCACAGCTCTCTGACTGATGAATAATCAATGAGCGACCCCCCGGGGTGTAGGTCCCACTTGCACGAATTAAGAGATATATATTGACCGTAGATAGCAAAGATCAACGGCCCAAATCTCCTAATTTGCGCAAGTGGGACCTTGCCCCGGAACCAGGCCGTATTGTAGGTTAGGACTCGCCGAGGCTACCATAGCCGCGCTGCCAACGAGCGAATCTAGTCCTTATGAAGTCCAGGTTCATGCCGGCTGAGCGCCGACAATACCTTCGACCGGTCCTGACAGATGGGACCCAACCCCCGGTCGTTAATTATTGACGGGAAAGGCGGTGAACAGCCTACCGGTCCTTGGGCTCCTACGACCGGTCCTATGAGATGACCATACGCAAGTAGGCGACCGCACTGAATAATTACCGGTCCGATAAATGATTACCGGTCCCCGCTGCTGGCCCTGCTGAGGATCGAATGTGTGAAGCCGGTGTCTGGGACGCATAGAACGTGGTACCCTGATGTCCTTCAGGATTCAGAACAACCGAGCCAGGCACCTTGGGGGCAATTTCCGAAATTTCATATGGTTGGCCTTGTAGCCTCTGATTTTCTCCCCGAGGCTACCACCAGGTTCTTGGAGGAATCCCACCACTGCCTTCCACTCTGTTGGGAAGACGGAAAAATATCCTTCTCCATAAAAATAGGAGGCAAAAAAGAAAAAAGAAAAAAAAAAGGAGGCCGGGCCCAACGACGGCCACCGTTGATAAAATCCCATCAGCGGCCGTCGTTTCGTTTCGGCCTCCTAAAGATTCGGAAGCTAGACGGCGACCCACATTAGAAAAGGTAGTGGCTCCGACCCTGTTTTTGCCGAGTTCTCTCAATTTCACCTCACACTACCTACCTACCACTATTGACTTACCGTGAGGGCACGGGTGCGCAGCCTGTAGTTCGTTTGTTATGTGGTTTGGGAAGGGTAAAGTAGTGATTATGCTATATGTATGTTTTGTCATGTTCGCTATACACAACTCGAAGAGAGTGTGGGGGGGCGGTCCCAGTGCGTGCTTTATTTACGATGTTCATGGGACACTGGACCCAGTTTCCAGCAGGTGGCGCTCCCCATCAATAGACAGGATTGGCCGTCGTGTTGATGATGGGGACGGTTGTACAAGACATGATGGTGGTTATCAACACCACATCCATCGTGCTCATGCTGCTATCATTATGGCCTCCTCCCTAGGTGGTCTGTGTCGTGGCCAAGCCCTCGCTATCCAGTCTCAAAGGAGGTCATCTGCTTATCACGTTTGATTTTTAGAAATGCATTATGAATAGATACAGACCAGTAAGAGGAGTTTTTTAGACAGGGAGAGACTTTGGGAAGACAGGGAAAGAGAACGGGCAATATGAACTGCCTCTTTTTATCGGGCTCTTCTTCATCAGCGGACACCGTTCTGATCACCATACGTTCGGCCATTGTTGGCGTCTAACTCATGATTATCGAGTGGCTCGTGATCGCCATGCCTGTTCGAGTTCATTAACATTTGTTTGTCACAGTTACCCTATTGGTCATCTCCATCCAAGTTGCTCAGCATCGTACTCACTAGCGGGCTCGCCGTGAAGGCCGGGCTATTTGCTGATTCCGTTGTCAAATGTCTCCGCCGTCAGAAACTGTTGGTGACAGCATCAAGGCTCGATTTGGACCTGCCTGTGAGGGTGGCTAGATGAATAGATCAGGAGCCTGGCTTAGTTGGAACACCACTGAACTATTGAAAAGCAGACACAAACTTAAGCCCAGGTACTATTATCAGGAGTGAATAAAGTTGTTGAGGTTGCGGCTTGTTGTTGTTGTTACAAACAGTGGTCGGACTGTGCTCCGGGAACTTAACTGGTACATATCGAGTTACGACTCACATCTTGGGGCAGGGAATAGCCTGCGTACTTTGGCCTGGCATGGTCACTTTGGGGCGATGTTCCCGATGTGTGTGAGAAAGAACCGATGGTGTTTGAATACGGCGGTGGAACTACGGGCTGCTATTCTTCTTCAGAGGGATGCCGCTGCTGCTAAATGCTTAGGGTGTTCATCTGCTGCAAGTTTTTCGTTTCCGTTGAGTTGCTGCTGAGGACGGTTGCTATCGTTGTGTTTTTTTGCGTGGCTGCCGTGTTTTTTCTCAACTAAGCAGCTGATGAGTTTCTGCCAACACGGTTGCGTTATTACTAAGTCTTTTCCTCTACTATGCCACTTTCAAATGAGCTGATGAGTTTCTGCCAACACGGTTGCGTTATTACTAAGTCTTTTCCTCTACTATGCCACTTTCAAATGTTGCTAATGATGAGTTGTTGAGTGAGGTGAGTGCACTTTTAGTAGGAGTGTTGCTGCATGTTCTAATAGTAGCAGACTGATGCGGCGCAGGTACTACTACTTCAGCCAAGTGACTGCTATGTTCCTCAAGGTCAGTCTGTGTTCTATTTGAACACAGACTGTGCCCTATTCGAACGCAACCTCTCAGGCTGCGTAGCAGCAGTTCGGCCTGAGTAAGTGGGGCTGCGAGTCGGAGCGGTGATCAAATTCTCTAAGGGGTTCATCGCTGCAACTCGGAGAATTGTCAGGGTCTAACTACTCTGCGTTTTGATTGTGGGTCGGTCTCCCTTGCTATGTATTTGGCCATCATTGCGGGGCCCTCATACGCATAAAGATTTCAAGCCCTCTCCTGCGAGTTTAGTCTGTCCCTCTCTTGTATCTCGAGCGTCTGAAACCCCTCCTTCTGCCCTTCTTACTCTCAGTCTAGTATGATTGGTTACGAGAGGAAGGCGGCAGGCGGGATTGCAACCCGTAGGACCGCAGCAAGATTTTGTGGGAGGTCCACCCACTGATTGCGGGAGCTCTGCCGGAGGCCAGACGGGGTTCTGGAGGCAGGGAACACTCAGGTATAACGGTCGTATTACGCGTGTGGTCCTATCCTAAACTATACTACCCTTTGTTATTGCATGCCTGTAAGTATGACTGAGAAAGTTACTTCGCTTTTGTTTGTTTTGATTTCAATACATGTTTTGAAAGGGTAAAATTGGCTAGTATGTATGATGAAGTCAAACTATCTGTGTGAATTCAGACAACACAAAATTATGACTTATGTTGCGAAGGTTGAGCGAACGCATAAGTTGCGGGCTGTTTAGTTCTTCGCACATATGGTTATGTCTAGGTTGGGCTAGACTACTCATAAGTTGGGTAGTCTGGCTCTACGCCATATGTAACTGTTTGGGTTGGCCAAGGCACAGCATAAGTTGTTGTGTTCTGGTCATATGTCTTTCGTCGTTTGTTCAGACAGAAGTTGGACCCCTCATAAGTTGAGGTGGTCCAGTTCTTTGTGTATGTCGAAAGTTTAGGCTGACCAGTCTCACCATCAGTTGGTGGGACTCGGTTATACGCCTTACGTCAATTGTTTAGGCAGAAGCTGACCACACCATAAGTTGGTGTGGTTCAATCTTATGCTTTACTGTTTCAGGCGAGACTATTCACACCATAAGTTGGTGTGGTCAAGTCATGAGCCGCCATCACAAAGAGAATCGGAGTATACAATTTTGATACTCTAGTTATTATGTATATTTATGGCAGGCTGGGGGCCATAAGTTGGGAGATCCAGCCATATAAGCCGGTAGCAGACAAGGCAGAGGGAAGAAAGATGAACAATACAAAATGGTGTGGTAACTTTGGGCAGGCTGACTCATCCATAAGTTGGGTAGTTGGTCATATGCCCTTGATAACACGAAAGCAGAGAGGTATATAAAGTTTGGATATTTCTTTTTTCTAAACATAACCGACGTTTGGGTGGGGATCCTCATGAGTTGGGGTGACCTGACCACTCGCCTGAGGACAAAATTTGATTGTGATTCTATCTATTGGATGTAGTTGAATTGCGGAGGTCGGGCGAACGCATAAGTTGCGGGATGTTCGGTCACACGCGCTTGTTATTGTTTAGGCAGGGCTAGACTACTCATAAGTTGAGTAGCCTAGTTTTATGCTATATGTCGGTGTTTAGGCTGGCCAGGGCACAACATAAGTTGTTGTGCTCTGATCATATGCCTTTCGTCGTTTGTTTAGGCAGAGGCTGGACCCCTCATAAGTTGAGGTGGTTCAGTTCTTTGTTTATGCCGAACATTCAGGCTGATCAGTCTTGCCATAAGTTGGTGCGGCCTTGTCATACACCTTATGTCAATCGTCTAGGCAGAAACTGGTCACACCATAAGTTGGTGTGATTTGGTCTTGTGCCCTACGTATATTTGTGTTACCTGACTAGGGCACCATAAGTTGGTGTGGCCTAGCCATATAAACTGGCAGGTCAGTCACATCCATAAGTTTGGTTGGCTGATCCTATGTCCTATGTAAGGAAGGGTAAAAAGAGAATAACGAGGCTTTCTGAACGAACTATGAGATCTGAAAGGAACCTGAGGGTTGGTAGAAGATGTTTGTTGTACTCACTCATGTGTGTGTTTTTTAGGGACTATCTCTGGGGACTTCTCTTTTTGGATAGGTAAGTTGTTTTAGATGCTGGAACTATAGACAGATGAGATGGATGATGGGGGGGGGAGCTTGGGATAAGATAAGACTGACCCTGCTAGGAGTTAGGATCAGTGTTAGCTCACGATCTCATCTAGAGGTCGTGAAGGCTGTCGTTGATTCTAAATTATCAAACGGGTGTTGCCTTGTCTTTCTGATTTCAGCTTTGTATAAATCTTGGCAGTCTTTTGTTCCTACGGGAAGCGCTGCCGAAAATTCTACAAATCTGAAAAGAGTTAGTCATTTTGGACTCATATAAAATTTCGGAAAGGCTCTTTTCCTACGGGAAGCGTTGCCGAAATTTTACAGAATATAGAGAGTTGGATTATTTTTGGCTAGGAAAAATCTGACAATCCATCCTGTTTAGGGGATATGCTGT